AGAGAGAGAGGGGGGGGGCGGAGGACACACAGGTAGACTGACCGGTAATCAAGACTGATGGTAGACAAGCACACTTTTAATTAAGCTTTCTGTAGGGTATACGGATAGAGACAACGAGGTCAATGGGAGGGGGGAATTGGGCAGACAGAAGGTATTGAGATAAAAGGTGAAGAAACAAAAAGTAGAGAGATTTGCGGAGGTGTTAAGACAGGTTAACACTCCACTGACCACATAACAAAATGCTCATAAAATGCTTATGCGTGCACTAGGAGAGTGGGAGGTAAAGAGATGAATAGATAGATAGATAGATAGAAAGATAGATAGATAGATAGATAGATAGATAGATAGATAGATAGATAGATAGATAGATAGATAGATAGATAGATAGATAGATAGATTATCAAACACAAACTTTAATACAGAAACAAAGCAAGGCGTTAGACTAAGACAAAACAAATAGCTGTAATCAAACTAGTATTATTACCTTTTCTTTTGGAGCATCTGCCAAAAGATTCAATGCTCCCTTAATCTTTTTCTTCTCTATAGCTTCAATATCCAATACATCTAAGGTATAATTCTGTGACTCAGATGGGCTGTCACTTTTTGGAGAGTCCAGACGACGTTTTACGTCTTTTGTGTCGGTGGAATTGATTTCACTGAGGCTTATGTTTGCTTGTGAATCCACATTTAGAACGCCATCTTGATCTAGTTCAAGCTCGCTGGAATTCCCGGAAGTGTGATTGAAAACCCACTTGGCAATTTCCAGTTCCAACTCGGACATAACTCTCTCTGTGGTAGTTGGCTCTGGAGTCGTCGTGGTTGTTGTAGTTGTCGTTGTGGTCGGCGTTGTGGTGGTGGTTGTTGTCGTAGTCGTTGTGGTGGGTGGTTTGCTGCTGCACATAACTCCGGCTGACCTGTAGCGACCGGGACAGCGATACCGCGTGTATCGATCCCAGCCGGCGAACGGACAGTCTGACAGCTTCTCCTCGTCGCCTGTACATTTCACGTTTCTCATCCACATTCTCTCTGACAACGAGAAGATGTTTGGGTGTGGTGTTTGGGCGGGGG